TTGTTGACCATCGTCTCATCCTCATCATGGTGATCAATCCTCTTCATCAGAAAAAACAGAACAACAGAAACAAACATGACTACTTCAAGTATTAAAAAAATGGAATATCGATTAGAAAATTACAATTTACAAATTGAAGAACGGTTAGATTTCTGGTTCCTAGGAACAAAGAACAAAATTCGATGTCTTCCTCCGAGTGGAAGACAACATTGTCCTATTTTCTTGGTGAAAGCAAAAATGCTTGTTACTACATTATTGAGGCTTTCATATTTGAACAGAACTGTTCAACAGTACAACGTGAAGACACTGTCTAGTATATTTTGAGAATCAACTTTCAATGGTTCGTGCCAAAATGCAAACTGTGCCATTGCAAAGTTGCAAGAAAAGGCCTTCAAAGGGGGTCAATAACTTTCCACACGTATAAAACATAATATTGCACCATTGCCTTCAATTAACCAATTCCCATATAATGGATGGTATCACAGTCAATATGGATTGTTCAAGTAAACAGCCATTATACGATGTACAGGCTATTCTGACTAATATCAAATTGCAGTGTATCCAATGCATGTACGCATTTTGGTTGGTTCACACAATCTGCTTTGCGTCGCTAATTCCTTCTTATTTCAGCATATGAATGTAAGTAAAGGAGCAGAGTTTTCTCACAAGTATTTTCAGCTAGCTGATGTTGGGGCTTACAAATTTTAATAGAATACCCCAAAAATAAATAACGCCTTCAAGCAATGACATCAGAGTTACAATCCACTCATATCTTTAGAAAGTATGACAAAATTTTATTGAGACCAGATTAATCAAAATGGGATGCCAAAACAACTTTCAAATATTAAAATTTAAAGAAATGTAGAAAGTTGCACTGAAAGTCCAACTTAATTTTGTTCCCTTCATCACCCTTTAAATGCTATGTTTAACCTCTCAAATAAAATGCACATGGCTTGAAATCAACAGTCACTTTCAATCACAGAACGGAACTTAGAAACCTTTTCATCAAAGAGTAGCTTCAATAAATTTTTCTATGCCGATGCAATTTTTCAACTTTGTACCCTTCTTCAATGCATGAGAACTCTTTTTTGTTCAGTGCATTGAAAGGTGCATTTTTGCACACTTAAATTTATCCATGCCTTCCTGGGCAACTGAGGGCGCTGTTGCTGTGAAATCATTTAGGGGCAAGTTCAATGGAAGACTATAGTTAACTACAGTTGGACTAACACTGCCCAAACGATGGATGGTTTGAACTATCTAATCGACCATTTGGGACCAGGCCCAGGGGTATGGTCGCACCGCTGGTTATCAATAGCCAATTTCATTTATCATTACAGAGGGAACCATTCACATGAAAATAACTGTGCGAGATTTCAAAGTCCATGTACGCTGCGAGAATTGCAGCCCAACGGTAAAATGTCAGTAACAGTGAGATTTTAACAATTGACCCACTCTGGTCATTCCAGTGTAACAGAATTGCGCATGTGTATTTTAAAAAGCAGTTGACTACTGGTCAAACTTTAGCTCAGGCGGGAACTTGCCAAATGGAAGACATAGTTTACTGCTTAGGTTTTTCTGTTCAGTCGTAAAGCCAGAATAAACTTACTAAAATGTTTCCTGAGAAAGAGATTTAGCTTCTTTCTCACTACTATGCACATAACCAACAATGAATCAGCAACGAAAAAATGACGGCCAGCAAAATCTACAATGCAGGATTTTTGTGTACATGGAAACCAATATAACATTGATGCTTTCTTCCCGGGATGACATCACTGTTTTGCTCATGAATATGGAAATATTCATTAGCATTAAAACAAAAAGTGAAGTCAAACACCCCTTGAAGTAGTGAAACAAAAGTTGAAAATTAGGTTAACGGAGACACAAAGGTGCAGTTTGGAATTCAAATAAATTGATTGCAGCTACCCTTTAATGGAAAGAAACTCCGTCTACTTACTAAAATGAAGTTGAAGGCTGGTCTGGTTCTGAATTGCCCTTTGAGGCAGCTTCAAGATGAGGACGCACTGTGCTCTTTCTGTGGGGGAAAATAGTGTGTGATTACGTAAACTAAATGTTCTTTAACCTATATTCTGATAGGCACTTGTTAATAGGATTGGTTTTCATGTTTTATACTGAAGAAACTACATGAATAGATTGTGGAAAATTGGCTGCTGTCAAATCGGGAACCACAGTACATACAAGACAAAGGTTGGGGCTAAGTCGATGACTTAGCGGACTGGACTACCAGAACAGTATAATATACAATTTCAATTTTCTTCCAACATATCTGCTGAACAGTTTTATAATGCAGTGAAACTATTTGTCATGAAGCAAAGAAAGGTGGACCTGTGAAGTTTGGCAGTTGACATTTCCAGGTTTATGGCACACCAACCCCTTGTGCATTTCACTTCTTTGTACAAGTATTTACATGTAGTCATTTTATACAAAAAAATACAGTTATTTCTGTGTCCTGCAGATCACAAGCAAAAGTGGCAAATATGCACTTTGACAAATTCAAAGATGCATGGAGTACGAGACCGACAGTACTGTGCAGAATACTGCGTAATAGCTTTGAAAGCCCCTATCCCAAGGTCCTTGTCATAACAGGGTTCCACTGTACAGCTCAGTAAGAAAACCAAGTGGCTCATGTCACAGAAACAGCTGGTATAAGACTGATTACAAGATGTTACGGGGGAATACTGAGATGATTCCAGTGGCGTATATCCGGGGGTGGGTTTTTTTTACAAAAATTCATAATATTGTATTTCTCAAATATTAATCAAATACTATTAGCACCAAAACCTTTTAAAAGAACATTAAACAAGAAAAATGAAAGAAAGGATGTCGGGACCGTGAGTAAGACTTGAAATTTTTTTCTCCACCAACATCATTCACTCTTGAATTTGAACCCCCCCTCGCTGCGTCAAAAGCTGGATACGCCTCTGGGTGATTCCCACTACAGCGTGTCACCAATTGGTTGCAACAGACTGGTACAGAGAGGCTTTTTTCAAGTTTACTTGGTAACTCCAAGTGTCTACAACTGATTAATTTGGGCAAACAAAATGCTGCAAACAATTGCCTCTGCTATGTTGTCATAACATCAAAACAAAAAGGCTTTGTAAGGTACATGTGTATGCATCCTGATCCCTGTTAAACTGTTACCAATTCAACGTTGAATATCAAACTGATTACTTGTTCAATATGTTATGGCAAACGTCGAACAACAAATAAGTCACTTCACATCGGTGGCAGTTCTTTGCTTTCAACTTCCTTGGTTTCCCACGAAAACCAAATGAGGCACATACATTCAGTTCTGAATTTAGTCCAAGACGTAGGGCTGTGTATGGCTTTCTTTTAACATTTGCCTCTTCACTGTCGCCATCACAGCCCTACTTCAAAGCAGGACATTAACGCCTGAAATCCTAACTGCAGAAATGTCACAAACTTTGAATCCTAATATCTTCCAACAGCACATTTTTACTCACACATATTCTTCAGAGTTTGGACTTTCATAGTATCCCCCTTAGGCCTAAGCTCACCGAAATCCTACATTTTTCTATGTCACTGTGTCTTGAAAACCTGACAAGTGATGTAGGTATGCTGGTCGTGGATGTCGCCATTTTTAAAAATAATGCCCGACCGCATATCATTGAACGATAGTGGCATGTCTGTGCAAGGGAAGTCAAAGTGTTGCATGAATGCAATATCTTTGCTGTGTAAGAAATGCACCACACATTGCTCGGTATGCACAAAGCTCCTAGGAAAGAACTTACCGGGACTGTCCTACTCGGTGAAGCTGATGGAGAAGCCTCTCTCCATCTTGGAGTGGTCCAAGACGAATGTCACCAACACCACATAGCTATTGGTCAGGCAGTCAGGAAAGCTGACGGAATGTCCAGGCCTGCATAGTGGATGACCTGCGAGCCTAGGTCAACCAGATCCAACACTGATATAGTCGTACTGGGGCTCAATGGAGAGATCAGTGAACTGCACCAGCATGTGCTAGCCCAGCTTGACAAAAATGAGTCAACGGCATTCATCATTGCTGCGATAGCCGGAGGAGAATTCTGGGGAGACAATGTTGATGCTACTGTCCGCTGGGATGATGTTGGCTACGCACTGACCACCTAGGAAAAGGAGGGATTATTACATTCATAAGTGCCAAGACTAAGAAGTCAGAAATCAGAACACCCATTTTACGAGCCCTCAGCAAAACATGGAGTTATGTGATAGCTGCTATTTACATGCACACACACGTACATGCATGCGTAACAGCTGCCACTTTTACATAGCGCATAGCATCAACTGTTGGATGTCCTATCTGTAACAACACGCTTTACATGCCTGCCTTGTTGCAATCCCATCAATAAATACAACAATGACATGCAACAGACGTAGGTAAGACCTTAGCACATGCACTATGCATATGCTTCACCCTCAGCACAATATGGCCCCCACCATAGGGTTTTAGGGTTACTTTGCTCCAACTTTGCTTCAAAAAATCAAGACAAATAGAGGACTACAAACACAAAAATAACATTTATGGAGCGTATGCGGCTCACTCACTACGCTATATACGGAGGTAGTCCAGTACTGTGAGCCACATTCGGGGGCTAAGGGTACGGAGGCAGTCCACATGGTCTAGTACCTGGGCCCCATTTATCATAATGCATGTACCATGGCACTAGACTTGTAGTCAGCATTTGTGAATCTGAATCATATACACTGTAGTTGGCAAAGCCTCCATCCATGCCATCAGGAAACACAACAGCAACTTCACCAATTGCTGAACTTAAATTGTCCAGACGTCATCCTGACATAACTTTATAGGCCAAATTCACCTCCATGATGTAGGAAGCCACGACTTGTTCATGACTTCCGGCCAGTGCGGTGAAAACAACCCGAGTACCCCCAGAACTGTGGGGTCTGATGTCCGCCCACAGTTCTGGGGGTACAACTACAACCGGAAGGGAACACACTTTTGCAGTGGAAATCAACATAAATGCATTTGTTTTCAACTCGCACGCGCACTGACCCGAGGTTGCGCAAAGTGACCTGAGGTCATGCAAAGTGACCCAAGATCATGCAAAGTCACGTCCATGTATAGGCTACCATTATGTTAAAACAGCCGTCAGAAAGTGATAAAGTGTCCTAACATTATACTTAAAACGCAGTGGCTGTTGTTATGGCAGCCGTAACGAATCTCTCACTTTCTATTGTTACGGCACTGCAACTGCGCAAGCACGCCAACTTCAGCACAGATTTTCTCCAATGAGAAAAGAAAAAAAGATTCTTGCTTAGGCTTATACAATTAGAAACCAACATAAAAAAATAATTATGGTATAAAACATGAAATTTAGGGGGAAAAAATAAAATAATCCAAACACGGACTCGAACTCACAAACCAGTGGTTCCAAACTTTCCACCTTGACCACTCGTCCGTTCAGCAATCCAGGTAATTTTAAAATATATAAACCGTCGTGATGATTAGCTACGTCATCGCACTTAGCCTTTGGCAGTTCAGTGCCGTAACGTTAGGAAATGAGAAATGCATTACGACTGCCGTAACGATAGCCACTTCGAACTTGAAAAGTGATATTTAGCTAAGAAAATTTAAACTAGGCCTAACACTTCTATTTTTCATTGAGGGCGCTCTTCATAAAGGCCTGCCTACTTTTAACAGTAACACTACCATGGTGACACTAACAGTGACTAAGTAAGAAATGATTTAGATTCTTTCAGACAAATCTCATAGGTTTGTGCGCGGGAGCATTAAGAGTCTATCTAACCAACACATTTTCTCCATTTTACTTCTTAGATGACAGTTTCATCGCATTCTCCCACGACTCCTGAATTCGAATTCTCCGCTCACGTCACGCGTGCACATTGACATTTCCAAGGAAGTCTGGAAACTATTTTAGGAACCAGTCTATTAAGCTAGAAACAGCGCCCTCTGTGACCTTGGCGAATAGCGCCCTCTATTGATCAAATATTTAGCGCCCTCTCTTGAATTTGTGGACAGCGCCCTCTATTGATTTTAGAAATAACAGTTTAAAACTAGTCTGGTTCCCTGACCCAAAATTCCCTGACAACTCTTGATTCAACAAGAATAGTCGGAATGAATGGGTCTGGTATCCAGATCATTTTAAAATTGCAATTAATACAAAAGTGAAAGCACGCCCTCTATTTTGGACAAGAGCGCTCCAACAGTGATATTGCGCCCTCTGTTGAAAAGGAGTTTTGACGGCATATGTGGAATAGCGCCCTCATACATTCCAGCTGTGTAGAGTTACTTTATTTGGCTTTAACCTCGTCTCCACTGGCTTCCTTATTAATAAACACAGCTGACACGCTCATCCCCAGGTCAGTGTCGGCTGAAATCAGGTTGACTAAGTTGGGATAGGAGCTCTCTTTCTGTTCAACTTTAATTTCTTTGGAACTATTTGCACTTTTCTTATTAATACTTCAACAGTAATTGGCAACTTTTATCCATTTCAGCATGTGGCTTACACAGGTTGTAATGGCTATCCGTCGTTCATCTAAGTACACGCCTGGCCGACTGTTTAGTGGGTGAGTTTACTGGTTGAGTTGGTTCATATCAGTGTTCATGTCATAGCGTATCGGACAGGTAGTCCAGACAGGGGGCCCTAGTACTTGTAGTAGGGCCTATAGTAGGAAGTACTACTAATGTTGACAAAAAAATATGTACAGTAAGTGCTCTTAATTTATCTTATTGCAGAACTTTTGGTAATTTTGTACTTTCGTCAGGGCACGCAGATTCAGTTCTAAATGAATTTAGAAAAATCCATTCATTCACGTTCATTCCACCTGGATGCAGCATTGGCCTACCAAGTTTGAAATAATACAGTAGGCCTACTACTCACTACTAGCACTACTAGGCCTATTGGCCTAATTTAAATGTGGGAAGTCGGCAGTTTTTATGTTTTTAGTCTCTTTGAGAGAAACAAGTTTGGTAAAGTTGAACTTTGAGAACTCAAAGTCACCACTCTGTGAATAGAGGCATTATTTCCATCATGTTTGTGGGTTTTTTACGCTGTTTTTTAATCCAGACTTGTGAAGATCCGGCAGATTTTTCCTGTGACAGCAACCCTGAGATACCTTTAGCTCTTAAGAATGATCGTACAGGAGTTTCAGACCATGAGACCAAGTATTTTTTTTTATAAATCTGACATTTTTACCCAGCAATTTCTCGCTTCCACCCGATGGCAATAGCTCTGTACATGCTGTCATGTTTATCACATTGCACATCCACCAGGCCGGCCAATGGCCAAGCTTGCCCTGCATTTCGGTTCGACTATTTTTGGAGGCAATCTAAGTTCTTGCAATCCGTCACAGCTACACAGCATAGCGTCCTGCTGGTATCAGCTTACAGTCCTGACAGTAAACACGGTCTCACAATGAAAACAAGATACCATCCCCCACCTCCCAAAATTTGGAACTGACATGCAGAGCAAGTGTGGCCACTGGCCAGCCTGACACATGCGCAGTGTGATAAACACAACGGCATGAATAGTGTGATCGACGTCTGGTTGAAATGAGAGATTAAAGAGAGAGTAAAGGCCAACATTGATTATTGTCATTCCCAGCTTTCTCATTTTGTTGACTTGCAATGTGTGTTTTTTTCCCCAAATCTCAGCAAGCACCGGAAGCACAGACCTGTGACAAACAACATGGTGAAGAACCTCATGAGGCGGCTGGAGATAGAGAAGGAAAACGAGACTTATCTCTGCATGCCCTACCTGACAAGAGTGAGTATGGCAAATCTTTGGTTCCATCTTGACTCATCCCCTCTTTGATCAGAACGGGGCTCAACAATGTGTTCTTGTCAACCCCTTTTCTCTACAGGCCGAGGAGAACGGACATGCCAAGGAGCAAAACTACCTTGAATACAAGGAACTCAGCGATAGAAGACGGAGCGCTAGCATGAAGCCCCACAACTATATAGAGGACCACCTAAGCCATCTCAAACACTCCAGAAAGTGGTAGACTAAGGACTGGAAAAATCACCCGAACTGCTTCAGTAGCAGTCAACACAGATGGAGCAGCCTGCACTTTCAAGAGTTGTCTGTGGGGAGTTGCTGTGCATTGACACAATACCATCCATGTTTCTCATCTTTTCAGACAAAAGAGCTATAAAAGCCATGGATTTACCTATTAAAATATGCAGGTGCTTCCACAGTAATGTTGACAATGTGTAGGTGTTGATCAGGCCTGCAGTGGAAGACGACTGGAGGCATCCACCATCGATATAAGTCTTTGGACCTTGTTATATGTCTGCTCTTTGCCGAGTGCGTGTACTTACAGGCTTGAGAGTTGTATGTGAAACTCATGGACCAGGTGTCAGCAGTCAGCATGTTGAATAGACCAACTGTCAATTCTGTTGGTATACCGTCGGACTGCAATGATAGGGACATGTACATGTGCATTGCTTACTGCACTATTAAACTAGTGCACATTTTGATTTTTAGATTTTCACAATGCTATTAGGTAGTAAATTCCCCCCCCAAAAAAAAAAAAAAAAATTGGCTCATTTCAGTTCCTGAATTACGTTTGCTCTTCTCCATGTGATGGAAATTTCAGGAGTCCAGCTGATTTGAGATACTGAGAGCAGGTAAAATGGCACCACCCACTTCCGTGCAAGGCAAGAATTCCTCTCACATCTGGATGCAATTCCATGTCATCCACCCATGTGGGATAGCGATCACTGGATGTCACGATTTCGTTGCCAGTGAACTCTACGGCAACATTTGTCAGCTCAGCATATGTTGTACAGCAGGTCCTTACCTGTACCTGCATGAATGCCTGGATGGCATGTTGCCTGTGCCAAAGCCATTTGAGTGCTGCCTGGGAATTATCTGCCTTCCTGATGAGCAGAATTGGGCCCGAGCCACCGATTCTAAGTTGGATAGAATACATATTCTTGTTATCTTCCAAGATGCTATCTACACTAGATGAAAGGGAAGTAACGGGCTAGAAACAGCTAGGGAACTATCAAATAAAGGCAAGGGAAAGAAAAACCGAGTAAAAGCCCAGATTTCTGTGTTTTCTTTCCTCCTTTGTGTGTACAAACAGTGCAGTTTGTCCATCATTCAGATTAATCCCTATTAAAATAATTTGGAGGCCCAAATTGTAACAGTTAATATATGTGGGTCATGAATGCACTGATTCTAAATAATTTGGGTCAACTATACAATATTGTATGATCAGGGAAGCAAGGCTGGATCAGTGCACATAAATTAGAACATTATGAAATGAGATTTGTACCTATTGCTGGTGTTTATATACTCTGCATAGAAATACTGCATCAAATAAAAATTTGTCTCAGAGGATTAAAGTAACCCAAGATATTCTATGTAAAAATCTGAGTTTTAATCTAGAAAAATACTGTGATTGGGCTGCATTTTAGCCACGTAGATATGGCAAATTTGTGTGCATAATGAGAGGGTAATTGTACATGCATATGGCACATTTACTCACATACTCCTAATGATACTACACAAAACAACACCAACCGAGTCTGAAATCCTGGCATTAATTAAACACTACCTACAGTATTTGTACATGTACTTGCATATTTTGTCAAGAAATACATACTGTATTAAAAAAGGGGTTTCAGCCAACACCCTATGCCAAGCATTCTACCAATGCATAATCACCACCTATAAAGCATTCTTTCTGAAATTTCCCATGGCAAATTATCGTAGTACAAATTGATATCAAACTATATACATATATACTTTTATAAACTATCAGTCTCCTCTTCAGCACTTTCGAGTACACCCCACAAATTTAAAATACAACATGTGGCCTCTAGTCTTCTTTGCAATATCTGTGTTATAAATTGTTTTTTAAAAAGTACATATGGTTATATAATTTATGGTACATATCAGCTTCATTGTTCTGATAAAATGAAATACCTTTCAAATTAAATAGCAAAATTATATTTTGCTTATCTTAAAAGCAAAGTTGAATTTGTGATTCTGATTGGCCACAGGTATAAAATTTCATATTTTTAAGGGACTCAGTCGTTCTGCCTTTGATAATGAAAAGTTTGGCAGGGCACCAAGGCCAACAACATGAAAGAAAGTCATTTTTGAGGATGATAATGTCGACGAAAAATGAAGGAAAACGTCCTGATGCACATTATTACAACGGGGAAACACCTGTCATGGTCCAGACAGTGTGGTTGTAGAAGCTTGAGTAGGCCACCGTGCTACATGTTGGCTGCCGTGTCCAAACACACCCGGGAGGCAATCACACACAAAAATGCGCTCAACCAATGCTACAATCACAAACACTGAAACCTTGAAATTAATGCACACATCCCAAGAAAGGGGGACCACGGTTTATGAATGAACTCACAGTAAACTTGATCAGAGACTTCTGATTGTCTCCACCGCTATTTAGCATGTACCTGTATGTAACAGTTTGCACAGGTAAAGATTTGGACCTGGACTGTGTTGCCATCATGCAATGCCCTCGGCTGGCAAATCTACCTCCTGATCTATCTGCCATGGCCCTTTCTGTAATCTTTTAGTAGTGACACAGGTGCCTGTATTATGCATGCAGCATGTGATTACCAATATGTACATATACATATATTGTGTAGGAGTACATTGAGAAACGTCCACAGGGTTTTGGTACACCCTCCCAGTGTTCCAAAGTTCATCACAAAGAACACTCAAAGGGAATCATTAAAAACAAAGGGAATCAGAGACGGTACTAGGGTGCCACGACCAGTTGAGAAAAGGCCAAAGCAAGACTGGCCATGAAACGTATGGTTGTTGGGAAGGGTGAAGCATGTGGTTTTGTGAAGGGCATTTGGCAAAATAAAGGACATTGACGGTACTGGACATTATGACTGCTGTTCATTTTGAGTCCTGTGGTCAATCCGGGGTCAGACTGCTTTATACATGAATATGTATACACGTACACCAATATACCATAGTCTACTTGTCACTGAATTGCGCTATTTTTCCCGTCAGATATTGTGCGTAATTCTTTAATACACGTTTCAAGCTGAATGTACTACTTGCACTACACGAACCTTCAAATTTTTTTGGGTTGTTCTTTTTTTATTTTTGCTTTTTTTTTTGAGAGAGTGGCTTATGACCTATTATCCAAATCAAGATCTGTTGAATAGGTCATGACTGCATCTACGCAACTTGTAGGATATGTGGCAGAGTGGCTTCGATTGGATTGAATACAATCTCCTTACCCTGCACTTAAAATTGTAGGACCCAAATCCCATATATAGCTGCCCACCAATAGCAACAAATTTAAAAAAAAAGGAACTCCACTTTGGTTCAGTTGAACGTAGTACAACAAAGCTGGTTGGTGAATTTCAGGGTTTTAAGGGAATATTGCACGAACCATATGTGTACCATGTACACTGGATCTGTTTGCTTCAACTTTGTGTTCCCATCCAAGCCTAGCCTGAAATCCATCACTTGTAGCTACCGTTGAATTGTCGATCATCTACAGCCGACTCTGCCATGCCTCAGGATCAGATCTGTATTATTCAAGAGAAAAAAAAGAGATAAGTGGTATTTTGAGGACAGCAGCGCCGTTAAACACCATAGATACCAGGTTCAAAAGCCAGTCACTGTTCATGCTTCTTCCTCAGTTGGCAACACTAACCCTTTTGTTTGTTTGTTTTTTTTTAATATGAAGGTAATCTTTAAATTGGTTTCATTGCAAAGTTTCAAGGTAAAACATCACTGATTGGGGGATGTTTGTCTTAAAAGGCTTGGCAGAAAGTTCGGTTGTGCACAGGGATAGTTTTACTAAAGCAACAGTAATTGAAGACAGCAAGACTGAAACAGTCTGGAACGTCGGTGGACACTTCCAGTTTTCCTTCAACGGAATAGTCCTACTCCTGTGACATGGACTTCAGAATCAAGAAACTGTTTGAAACAGATATTTATATTGGCCAACTAGAATGAAAAGAACTTCATTATCACATTGAAATAAGAAAGTTATTAACTGTTGTTACAGTAAGAAAGTTACCCAATATAATACTATTTTAGGTATCTATTTATAACCTTTAGGGTCAATCATTATTTCGGGATGCTGAGAGTTTTTCTCCTGATGTACCACACTTCCATTGTCATCTCACACACTAAACCATACACTTACTTCACGTCAGATTTTGTGAGTTCCCTCCCTGATGCAATGTACTCTGCGAACTTTGACACCACTGGGTCAGAGTTCATGCTGGCCACAGCTACAACATGATCACCCCTGGATGGTAAGTAGCACGTATAGATTTAGTATTGAAACCTAAAACTAAGACTGTCTTTGGTGGCCACGATAATTTTGCCACGCACCACTGAATGACAAATAAAATTGAAATTTAACATACTGCAGAACGAAAATCCAAATTTAACTTAAGCTGAAAATAACAAATTTATACTCATCATGTTTTGTGGAACCGTAAAGAAAAATAACTTGACTGTCCATTTCAAACTGAAATTTCTGATTTTCCAGACCTGGTAAAAGTAAATCTCAATTGATTTACAGAATTCCTACTGGATAAATTCACAAAACCCCTCCTTCATTAGTTTTCCAACTTCCGTTTCGTTGATCGCACTCCCTTTTCCTGACATTTCATCCCTTCCTACAAAGAAATGTGTTTTTATCTGCCCCCTCGGTCAAATTAAAATGTTTTAAGCAAATATAAAGCAACAGCTGATGCTACACACTCACAGTAACATGCACTCACTTGATATAGTAAGCTACAAATTTCAGTTCTTCTGGGTTGCCTTCAATAATGACATCCTCAAAGCCAGCATTATAACCTGTGGAATAAAAAGCACAGTACCAGTTGTATACTGCTACTGCATGACTAGTCTAATTGTTCAAATGGGTTACATAATGGAAATGCATTTGAAAGATATGAAAAGAACGGTGGAAAAGCGATTTGGGGTTTTGTGACAAATCTTTCAGTTACTACAAATTTCACTCAATCTGACTCATGTGGTAAATCTGAAGAAACCAAAATGCTTGCTCACAAGTTCAAGATATGTTGAAAAGCCCTCAAATTTATTTCTTTCCAGTAAAAAACCTGACTTGTCAGAGCAAAAAAACTTGCAGTCTCATGATTTTCTGCAATGTACGTATCACTCCTAAGTAATAAAAGATATGTCTCTGTCAAGTAACAAGGGTACTTCTTCCTCATATATGGGCAGCATCTTCGTCTTTGACAATTTGAGCCTTATTGAAGGCGTTCAGTTAAACGGAAAGAACCAATTTGCAGAGTAGAAACACCTGCATATCGGACACTCTTGCCAAACAGCATAGTCCAGAAGTAGGGCACACTGTCCAGCTCCATCTCCTGATTCAACATGTTCAGAGCAGCGATGCGACCTGCATGAAGTGGAAACACAGAAGGTAACCCTCAAGCCTTAACAGTACATAACCATGCTAGTAAAGCTTCCTTAATCCATCAGAATCCAATACTGTGATTTAGCACGTTAAAAAAAATTGGAACATCCAGACAGGTCCAAAGCTGCATTGGCTTATGAGAGAATGAATGACAGAGTGGAGATTCTTCTGACTGGGCAAGAAACATGTGGCTAGTTCTTTTTTTAACTTCTTGGCCACACTTCAAGTTTGCAGAGAGATGTTTTTCACATCCTCTTTGACACCATTAGCTACCTTCTTGACAAAATGTCATATTTTATTCAGCCTACCCCAAATACTTGTCCTGATGTGTAGGAAAAAAAGTGCCAAATGCAAAATGGCCATAAACATAAGTATGATCCAATCCCACAAAATGAGTCATGGGTTGCAAAGGCCTTTCAATGAATCTTGCTCAATGTAAAGCAAAAGGAACCCTCAACAGTTTTCACCCACAATGTCCACTTTACCCCTCAACAGTTTTCACCCACAATGTCCACTTTAACCCTCAACAGTTTTCACCCACAATGTCCACTTTACCCCTCAACAGTTTTCACCCACAATGTCCATTTTAACCCCTCAACATCATTCACCCACAATGTCCATTTTAACCCCTCAACATCATTCACCCACAATGTCCCATTTTAACCCTAACACTCCTCCATGCTTCACCCATTGGAGGATTAAGGACTGCTAGGGTAACTCAGTGAAACATTACAAATAACGAGTTCAGCTTTCGTTTTATTAACGCAAACTGAATCTAAATCATAAATGCTTCATTTCATGGCAAATTTACAAAGCATGAATGTCTTCAAAATCCAAGCCTGATGTTTGATAGAGCATGTCCCACTTTCTATGTGAATTTAAATACAAAGTCCTTTAGTGGTTTCTTTGCTGAAGCAAAGTAGCTCCCATGATACTGATCCTCAGTGACTCATCAGCGGCCTTACCATGAATACAGGCAACCTGCCAGTGGCCAATGTTAACCTCTTCGTCTGCTTTCATGGCCAAGGGCACCTGGACTATGTCCCCAGCGGCAAAGACGTTGGGTTTGTTAGTCTTTAGGAACTGCGGGATAGGAGGAGACACCAGAACGGCTGATTCAAACCAATCAAATTTGAAACAAACTCAAACTAAAACAAATCACTGTTTTTCTGTGGGGTGCTGTTGAGCAAGTTAACTTGAGGTCAATGCTAATGTTGTTGTATAAGTTTTACCAATTGCAAAGCCCCTGAAATGTTCTGTACGGCAATGAAACATTTTCTACTTGTTACAAATAACATACAAATGTATTTTCTTCAAGCTTTCTTTTGGCCCATAAGTTATATATAAACCTTTGTAAGGCATAAAGATGTGGAAAAAATTGCACTGACAATTTAAGCTTTGAAAGTTTCCACCTGAGGCCGATGTGCATCCAAAATATGGACAAAATATTGCCACAATGTAAGGGTGGACTAGCAAAGTGAAGCAATTTATCAAATATCTTTCAGTTTTCTCCACCTTAAGCAGATGATAAAAAGCAAATAATATCTTCATAAATTCAACCTGTCCTTTTCTCAGTTTGAAACTCTCACCTTGTCAACGACCACAGCCTGCCTGGAGTTCAGCGTGATCCCGCTATCCTTCAGAAAGTTGGTGGCTGGCATCACGCCAACTCCCATGACACACAGGTCAGCTGTCAATGTCTCACCACCCTTCAGCACCACCTCCCTCAGTTGCCCCGTCTCATCCCCATTGAACTGCTCCGGGTCAGAGTTGAGATAAAACTTGACACCCTTGTCTTCACACATCTACATAGTGTACAGAGAAAAATGTGTGTGATGCACAACTGCTTTGACAAATGTAGTCTTCTGATTCCACTCACGTTACTCAATGTACACAACATCTTTGTGTATTTGTGTTGGGAAAGGGCACACCGGTACTACAATAAAGTATCTATAAAGTCCAATTTACATTATGTCTTGTAACATTCTGTCAACAGATCTATTTGGGCACATGCCAAATAAGAAACTTTGGCCCTCTTTACAACCACCACCTTTGACTGTGTGGCCATTTGTGCATTACATTCCATGGAATATTTGGCTCATCTACCACGGGTAAGCAAATAGGAAGTTGTTACACTGAAAAATAATGCAATCTGGCTTTACTCAGAGGGCCGTAGGCTCCATGTATGGATGGCCAATTTTATTTGAAATAAAGAATCCTGGAAAGAGCCCTAAAAGCTGTTTTCGCTGACATCAAGTTTAAGTTTTAAAAACCACATTCCTGTTCTTTGTATCTTTGTACTTAAAACAGAGTAGAGTTAAATTACAGTGCTGACATGAACACACTGTTTCTATTCTATGTTTGGGCATGTTGTCTAATTGTGGGGACCCGATCCATCTCCCCCCCCCAGTAGTGGAGGCACACTGTTGTACCACCCCCTCCCATTTTTGATTGGAGTAGTCCTGCCTCGTCCACCACACTTGAACTAGTCTTGGGCCAAGACAGCAGAACTCGATAGCGGACTCGACTGAGCATATGCCGCATGTGCCGATTTCTACTGCACCCTCTTGTGACTTCATTTCACCAATCGACGGCTCATTCTACCGTCTTGGGAATCTCCTACAAACTGTTGAACTTTTCTTTAGTTTTCCTCCGGATTTCCAGAGGAACCAATCAGTGCCCAGGAAATTTCAGTTGAATATGTATCTGATGAAAATAGTAACAGTACTGTGCACTGTATCTGCTGTGTTTGATGTAGCTTGGCCCACAGGCAAACACTGTCTTGGTTCTATACCGTGTGTTTCTTGAGCTGAGACAGTGTTTGCCTGTGGGCCAAGCTACATCAAACACAGGGTAGTCTATTGCAAGCATACGATACTGCATGTACTGTGTGCAATCATTCAATGTAAATGTACATGTACACTGTGCATCAGTGCCCAGGAAATTTCAGTTGAATATGTATCTGATGAAAATAGTAACAGTACTGTGCACTGTATCTGCTGTGTTTGATGTAGCTTGGCCCACAGGCAAACACTGTCTTGGTTCTATACCGTGTGTTTCTTGAGCTGAGACAGTGTTTGCCTGTGGGCCAAGCTACATCAAACACAGGGTAGTCTATTGCAAGCATACGATACTGCATGTACTGTGTGCAATCATTCAATGTAAATGTACATGTACACTGTGCATGTGTGCGTTCTGCCAATGACGTGATTAAATCAGCCTGGGAGCGCGAACGGTCAAAAGGGGATTTTTGTGGGCGGGGAAACGCAGGATCTTTTTATTCATTTTGGGGTCACAATTAATAGGGTAACCATTAAATGTACGATGTTTTCGAAATGGTTTCATATTTATTGTTTTTTTAAATACATGTACACATGCACTAAATGTTTTCAATTTCTGTTACCCTTTAAGACAGTAGTTCTTTGTAACAGTAGTTTCTTTGAAGTGTTTCACTATTGCGGCCAAGGAATGGTGACCAAGTTATGAGCTGCTGTAAATAAACATTGGGGGGAAGTTCAGTTACTGCAATTCTTTTCTTATTGACTTTATGATTAACTATCATTTGTATGCAGAGGATGTTTCCTTATACATATTTGCCAATCCTAGAAGTACTGAATCATTGAATCGTGCCTTTTTGCCACTGTCAAATTACGTTGAGCATCTCCAGGAATGGATGGCCTTTGATGGTGGTGTGTGTTGGATGCCTCTCTCACTCTGTCGGACATCTCCATTCTTCCAGCATCCACTGCTGAAAGTCTTGGTGTCAAGTTTGATTCAGCTCTTAAAATGGATCGACATATTGCATTACTCTGTCGCGGACTCCATAACCATCTTTCTATAGCACGCATGATTAGACCTTACATAAGTGCTGAAGTACGCGAGCATGCTATCCGAGCTATTGTGTTGTCATGACTTGACTATGCTAATTCACGACTGTATGGAATCAACTCATCTCTAATACAACATCTTCAGAGGGTTTAGAATCATGCCACTGAGCTGATCTTCAAGGCCTATAAGCATGACCATATCACCCCTTTGCTAAGAGAATTGCATTGGCTTCCAGTGAAGCAACGCATCGAATTTAAGATCCTGACTGTCATCTTCAAGAGTATCCAAAACAAAGCGCCAGAATACATGAACGTTGTGTATTACTTGGAAAGAAGAATTGCAGAATAAAACCACACTGCAGAGAGATCTCTATTATCAGAGCTCTCCCTACTGCCAGGTGTAGCATAATATTGACAGCCACAATCACTGAGTATGCTGCAATTAAATCAAAACATAGCACATAACATTTCTACCGAGATATTGATGAGATGACGAAGGCATGACACAAAGATAAACTGTACTGTACTGGAATCCATTCTCCTTTAAACGGAGGTTCTTTAAGACAGGAGCCTCATTACTGCGGGAAGAAATTATGTTTTAAAAACAATTGTGCCAACAGCTGGTCAAAAACAAAATCGTATATATAGGTTTTACATGTATTTACGGCCATTTACCACTTTCACTCAACATGTGTGGATGAAAATGAAAAATCAACTAAACGATAATTTCCTTGGATACAGTGCCACACATTTCCTGAATTGGTGTCTTGAACTTTGAAACAAACACAAAGCCCATCTTAAAATCCCTCAATCTGATTTACTCAAGTCTTCAGTGTTGAGTTGATTACGAATTAACCCTTCCTAAAAACCACGTCACCCTAGTCAACACAATGTTCACTGAAATTTGCAAATCAGTAAAAACCTTTTCAAAAAAAAGACCATTTTCATTGTCATTTAATAGCTTAAATTTAAGTGTCAGAAGCTTGGATGGATTTACAGACTGAAGTTTATAGTCTGTCCCACTAAATAGCATCTCAATGCCTTTGTTGACAGGTACCAAATCTCCTCATCTTATTCAGCTCAACTCACCAAGTCAAGATGGCATCCAATGTCACAACTCAATCAGTGTTTAGTAATATTACAATGGATCAGGTGGTATGCTCCATCTGTACCAACCATTTCAGGCAGCCCAAAGTGCTGGACTGTTTGCACACTTTCTGCCTGGACTGCCTTCAAAACCTGAGACAGAGCCCAGATCTTAACAGTAACAAGCTGACGTGTCCTCGGTGTGCGAGGGAAACCATTTTGAATGGGTCTGGGATCACTGATCTCCCTGATAACTTTGCATTCAGTGCCCTGGTGGAAGAGGTCGCCATGCAGGATAAGCTACTTCAGGGTCTGGGGTCGGGGATTACATGTCAAGCCTGTGATGAGGGGAATCAGGCAATTTCAAGATGCATGGAATGCGACCATTTCCTCTGTCAAGAATGTCAGCGGGCACATGGTCGGATGACGCTGATGAAATCTCATCGGATCTACACACTGGCTCAACTTCGATCGGGCAAGATCACCTACAAGAGCAAACTGAGAGAAATGATTCCCAAGTGTAGAGAACACCCAGATCAGAACGTCAGTGTCTACTGCAATACGTGTCTGCAAGTCATTTGCACGACTTGCTCTGTTTTGAATCATCCGTTACATTCTGTCACTGCTCTCACCGATGCCTTGGAAGAGTGCCAGAGCATTGTTGCAGAGCTCGTAGCTAAAGTTCAGGAGAGCAAAACAGAACTGAGCAGCATCCTACGAGAGACATGCGAATCACACAAGGCACTAAATGCTGTCTTTGCTGACACTAAAAGGAAAATCAAGAAAAAGGCTGATCAGGAGGTTGCTAAGATCCAAAAGAAGATTTCCGAGATCCGACAGGAGGAGCAAACATTGTTGGAGGAGACACAGCAAATTTACAAAGAAAGACTCAAACTATTTGAAACAGTCCAAACTTACAACAGGACAGAGGTGACCCAGGTAGAGCACAGGTTGGATGAAGTGAAGCGACTCATGGATCAAGCAAGTTGCTATGAGATTCTAGAACTTCAGCAGAAGCTCTTGGTTAACCTCAATGAACTGACATGGGCCAAGCCAAAGCGAGTTTCTGACAAGTTGACCTTCCTGGATTTTGAGGAAGGTGAGAAGGCGCTTGGAAACCTTGTCCTGGAAGAGCCAGGGTCTGCAGCAAAGGAATCCCCAGGACCTTGCCAATCACTTTTGAGAGAGATACATGTATGGGAACTGAAGACAGAAATCAACAACTTTAAAGGGAAAAATGCAATCATAGCACACATTTCAACATTCTCCAACAATACAATCCTTGCACTGCAGTCCACCAACCAAACATTTTTTACAATCTCATCATCCACACGTCCAAATGAATCTCCTCCAGATCCGCAAAGGCTACAAATCAAAGGCCTTACTAAAACAAGGTGTATTGCAGTAAATGATGACGACAAGCTCATCGGGCTCTGTGGTTCTTGTGTCAAGGTCTTTGATGCACAGCATCAGCTCCTCCATCAGTTCAAACCAGCCATAGGGTTGGACCAACCAACTTGCCTTGCCGTGGATGGCAGCAATCTGATAGCAGTGGGCTATGAAGAAAGGAGCGAGATATCCCTGCACAAGCTGAACGGATCCCTCATCAGGAGATTGCCTGCTCCGATGATCGAGTGCTACCTGGCAACGTATAAGCAATGGCTTATCTACACTACCTACTGGGCAAAAAGGTTGATATGCATTGACTACCAGGGGTTCACCGTCTTCTCAACAGACATGACCGATGACATACTGGAGGGTGGGCACCCAACTGGTGTGTGCTGTGACACTGATGGCAGCATCTATGTTGGCGTGAGCAGATTTCCAGCGGGTGATGTTCTCCATTACAGCCCTGATGGCAAGTACATTGGCTACATCATCACAGGATGCATTGCTCCATGTGACATCACACTCACATCAGATGGCCAGCTGGTAGTGGCTGCTGGGGGTTCTGTGAGGATTTATCACCGGGTGTAAGAACAGATTTGTTCCCAACAAAACAAACAGACTGAAGCAAAAGATATTTGTGCAGCAAAAATCAGGAAGGCGAGGGTGTAGCAAACATTCACAGGTTGATTTATTTGCCTTTGGGACATGTCATGAAATGTGAGAAAATATCACTGAGTGACTGTTTGAGCAATGTTACATCCTAGACAAGGTGGATAATTTCAAGGGGCAAAAAGATGGGTATAAAGAGAACAAAGTCTTTATTGCAACCTACTCAATTCTGCTTTGAAACATATGAAAGTTGGTTCCTGTCATTCAGAAAGGTGTTTAGTAACTGACTGTAGATACGGAACAATCCTTGAGGAAAACTCACAGTGTACATTAACAAAATTTAGTAAGAAAATAATTTAGATATGTTTTTGTCAACCAATACAGTTAAAATATACAAGGGTGCATCTACACTTAATTGTTTGGTTCTCAAATTTTTGACCATGTGGGAAGGGTAGTCGGTTAGGGGAAAAAGGAGGTAAACAATTTACTTGCTTGTCCCCAGAATTCCTAAGATTATATTTTTCTCGTTTTTGTCCTGGTAGGAAAGTCCAGACGGGTTGGTGGCATAACGAAAGTTTTTTTTCCTCAGGGTCGGTCAGAAATTACCTACAGACATCCAAATGCACACATATTAAGAGCGATGGCATCTAAAATCACAAGACGTATATTTGTCTCAGTTTGTGTGTTCACTGTCCTTTCCATGATGAACAGCAAAACTACATGTACCACCATCTATATGAATCAAGAATTTCCTTTCTCTGCCAGAAAAATTTAATCAGTCACAAGAAAATTGTGAGTCCATGCACACTGCCTCTCATTCTATACAATTACACTGTATATATACTGTGAATGTAGAAGATTTGAAGAGAGGAAACCTTACCTTCAAAGTTAAATTTTACTGTGATTGTGAATTTTAAACATCTCGTGGCATCTATGAATGTAGGACTATAGTTTTATCCTTTGCTTGATTCTTTGTCATACATGTAGCATGAGTACTCAATGCATGTAAGTTTCATAATGAATGTTTGGTGAAAATCCTCCAAAGATTTTCTGTAAAGCCTACCAGTAACTTATGTATACATGTATATGCTTTGAGAAACAGTTCATAAACTGCCAAATGTCAGCTACATTGTATTTAGCCGCATGCTGTATCAATGCTTTAGCTCCGGAAGTACTGTACTTGATACAAATACAATACCACTCGCATCATGCTTCTCCAGGATTGTAAAGCTCGCAAAAGCAGTCGCCCACCACGTTCTTATCTTCCGTTTTAGCCGTAACAATTTGTCGCACCATGACCAATTCCACTTGTTTTTTACTGATTTGTCAATCTCTTTCGGATCGGCAGCTCCATGGTCAACGAACTTCTTTCCTTCCACTATGATTTCGATTTTTTCCCAACTGCATGTGAACGTGTATACATACACACGTACTTGTACCAATTTGCAACAGCCAGTTGGCACATGGCCATGCAGCAGTGTGCCATGAACTTACATCTCAATGAAACAAGGACCTATTGGTAGTAACGCACATGCATACGTATCATAATTAGGAGAATGACCGGTCATGTGAGAGGAATTAACCAATAACAGGGAAGAGTCTGATTCTGATTTTTACGGGAGTCGGATTTTCATGTGACATCGGGCATTCACGCGATCGCGAAGTGGCTTTAAGGCAAAGCGCAAGAACTGCACTTGTCACTGGTTCCCTCCTTTGGCTATATGAAGAGAAATTAGGTTTGTGGGAATCTGCGAAATTCATTCCTCGTTTCCTACACAGATTGTACATTTCGAAGGGCATTGCTTATACTGTCCCAAAGCGATGTGTGAATCGAATTGTTTCAATGTACAAATTTCACTGGGAATTAGGGAAATTTTGAGCGCCACGTAATCAACCAACATTTACCCCCCTTACAACTTATCCCCCTAATTTTATTCCATTTTTACACTGAACTCGAAAACCACAAATTTGAAGGGAAAAAACAGGAATTCCGGTTAAACCGGAAAGATTCCAATGCCTGCAAAATCTTATGAACTACAAATACTAAATTGTTGGTTAAAAAGCAGCTTTTGTGTAATAACCCTTTAAGGTCATGGAGATGGGTAGTGGCATTTGGAGTATACATCTGAAATCCCAATGAGTTCATCAAAATTGTACCTCGTGTATGGTGGGTTTTTTTTTTACTGGTTCTTCTTGTGGTGGCCTGACTTAGTCAAGTCTAGGGATTTTTTTAAGTTTTGCGCATCGTACACTTTGTCATGAGCTTTGAATGTTCCTACTCGCTCAACATATTCTTAACATTATATTTAAATTGTTGCATTTTCTCTGTAAAGTCACCCACGTGGTCGTCCATGGTCGTAATCATAAATCAACTGTATTCTTATTAATGTTAGTCTGAAACAACAGGCTTAAGACTATTATTTCATGCCAGATATGGGCGTAATCTTGCATGCCCATGCGACGTACTTTGCCATGGCGTACGTGACAATCTGCCTCTCTGGCACGAGTTTGTTTTGTCAGATGATAAGTCCACTTTCGTCCTAAATTTCTTGCATTTTTGAATCTGTCATTATTATGCAGTTTTAGCCTGTCTATGTGAGCCAAGTGTGAGCTCTGACTCGGGTAGGAAACTCTTGATTTAGAGTGAGATTGTTCACCGCATTGTTGTGAAAGTTTTGTGGAAAGTTTAGCCATGTGACTTGTACACATGCATGAAGTGCAACGACTGTTCCATGTTTAGGCCTGAAGACTGCTACATCTTTGCACTATTTCACTGTGTATTCTTTACACAGGTGAACTCTGTAGAGAGAGCAGGTTGCACAGTGCCCTTGCCATATCTCATAACCTTTATCCTTTACCTTGTAACAGTTGCCCTCCTTCATAACTTGTATCCTCTATCTCAAACATGTAACTCTTGTTATTTATCACCTTAGGACCCCTGAAGCATACCACCACCTAAGTTTATTCATTACTGGTTAATCGATCCATTTTATTGTCGACGCCGTTTCCATGTACTCAAGTTCACAATTGTGTAATTTTTCCTCAGTCTCAATACTGGGACAGTTCTTCTAAATTTCGGTTCCTTGTCGTGATTTCAAATAGAAATAAATCAATTCTAATTAATAGTGAAAGTAGTTTTTGAGCTGATTCTTGGTTTTTATTGGGTGTATTTTAATTGCCAGAGAAGTCAATCCCTAATTTCAAATTTAGGTGTACCCACCACCATAAGCTATCACCACCTCTCGTATAGCAATGATATTTAAATAGAAAGTGGCATAACCAAATTGTGGATACTGTTTAACTGGAACTGACCCAACAAGTAAAAACAAGTAAAAAAAATCATCAGCCTCGTATCACATAGACAATCTAGGGCATTTCACAAATTATGAATGTTCTTTTTTGCTTTTTCCTAGACACATTTTGTCAGAACAAAATTCCAGTCTTACAAAAGGCCTCGCTATCTACTAGCAATGCACTGCACACTACTTTTGTAACAGGTATAATGCATAACTATATTAAAGTTGTTTGATAAACTGAGGAAACAGCTCATAAAGCCTGGTAAGAATTTATTAGGGGACAGCTGGGAGACTGGCTTGGCTGTTGGCTCGGGGAATGGCTAAAGAATTGTTAGGAAGGAGCCTGGGGCATCAGCTTGGGGTGGTAGGGCACTACACAGGACAGCTGTTCGGCTGCCAGTGTGACAACAGGGTAACTGTGAAAAGTACAATAGATTCCCATCATAGCGCTCTCAAGGGGACCTAACAGAATTGAGCGTTATAAATGCACAGCGCTATAACCGACTGAATGCACCCGCAACATGTGTAATGCACATGTACGTCTATGTATATGTATAAATACATGTACATGTATTTACACGTGTGAATTTTGTTTACATGTAAATGTACTGGCAGATGTATGCATTGCTATTTTCAGAGTATATGCCTTGTTTCCGTTTATCTTGACGTTTTTGTGACACCGATAAAAAAAAAAAAAAACCAAAATTGTCTTCAAAAACTGCCACAGGTCCTCACGCATGCTGCATCGCGGCACACACATTGCATCTACACCCACCACGACATCCTGACTGCTACTGCGCACCACATTCATGGACAGTCCAATCGCTGACTTTTCTTAATGACCATGTGACAACAGAAAGTGCTATGTCATTAGAAAACCCCAGTGAAAACAGATCCGACACGTCACACCGAACACGATCGGTGAAAAGACAAGATTTGCTACATGAAGATACACGTAGAATTTAAGCGGCTGATTTTATTTATCGTTAAACCTTTAGGTAACTAAATACTACATGTAGCATCTTAATGTTGATTATTGTGCCCCAAACTAGACCACGAGAATAAATAAAAAGTGCACAAATAATCATTACAATGTTGCCACAGCAAAGCTACGCGGCCGCGGCTCACCATGGTGAGCACGTGCTCGCGATCGCACTGCATGGACAGCCGGCCCATGCCAGTGCGTTTCTGCACTGTGTGATCGCTAAACTACTGGTGTCCAGGATTGGCCAGCCAATCGCAGAGGCCTTGCGATGCGGTTCCATGGTTTGATTTTCAAAAGTCTGATTTCCCAAGGTAAAGAGTGCTGTAACTGGAATCACTTTACATGCTTTATATGGTTCTGGGGGCCGAAAATCGTGAGCGTTATATCCCGAAAAGCATTGTAAACAGGAGCGCTGTAACCACATAAAAATATACACAGTGAATGGGCGAGCAGTTGGGGAAATGCAAATTGAGCATTATATCGGTAAGAGCATTATATCAGGGAGCGCTATAACAGGAATCTACTGTATCCTTCCACTCTGTTGCTGAATGTTTCAACTACATGTACCTACTGTGTCTATGTATAAGACTTTTCTTCACATGTATCTACGTGTGTGCATCTTGTATCTTTCATCTGGTTATCAATACGAATTGAGTCTCTGTCTTCTGTTGAAAACTTTTACTTTATACGTTCAAAAGAGGGTCAAAGGTCAAACAGCTTTCAATTGCTTGAGCACTGCACTCATAACAGTCTGTTTATGATGTTGCATAATATGCATCTTGAACTTGTGCACATAATTCGCAGCAAAAATAAGTGGAAAGGACTGTTGGACTCACTGCCACAAAGCATTTCAAAAGTCCCCTACTGTAGGAGCCAAGAGAGCACCAATCCTCACAGTTGTCATACACCTGTCAACGTACCTGATCATGACTGGGTACGTACTCTTCTTCACATAATGCACTTACCTTTTGCAATGCCTTGCCAATGGTTTCACCCAAGGATGCAATGTATGGGGCTGCGCTCCTGCCTATAATGGACACACTGCTGGCTTTACCAGCAAAGTACGCAGCCATTTCCATGCCTGGCAAACCATACAAAAAAATTCGTGTTCATCCGATACGCAACTTCATAACATCTTTCAGCTTCAAAATACTGTCTACATTCCTTTTGAAAAGATGCTCAAGCATCATAGAATACTAACTCTCCTTAATATGCAGATTTTAAGGAAGCTTCTCACATCCTTTTGCAGTCTGTTCGGTGTTGATTTGCAAACATTTCCTGAAGTTTGAATTGTCAAAGTAACTTGAGATCACCTAGACCAGACCATGGCCGACATTTCAAGAAAGGATTCCAATGGTGGTATGATCTACTTTTCGACCACAGTATATGACTATCACTCAAAGAACGTGAAATAAAAAGTAAGAAACTAGAATACGATCAAAAGTAAACAGTTTACAAATTGTGGAAGTATTTCATCAGTATGGGTGTTACACCACTGACCCACTAACACTTGAGATAAGACACAACCATAAGTCAGTAATAAAGCAGCAAAAGTTAGAGACTTCTAACCCCATGTCAGTCGGTGGTTACAACTTACCGATGAACGAGGTACCGACAATGACGACGTTCTTGCCCTTGCCTTGCTCAGCGATGTAGTTGGCATCCTCTGGACTCCTCAGCACACACACATTCCTCAAGTCTTTGCCTGGAATGTCTAGAACACGAGGGCTGCAGAGAAAGAGAGAACTTGCTGTTAACAGACAAGGCTGATAAAATAAAAACTGCTGAATTTTCAATGGCGGCACAACTGACAGGGAATCCCATTCCACAAGCACTTTGGGAATTTTACATCATGAGTTAACAATGAGACAGAGCTGACAACAGCAGTAATATAATTTAACACTGACTGTTTCCTTCAACAAAGTTTTATTTCAATCGTACACTTGGTGTTTTCTTTGGTTCCCCGCAAGCCCATACAATATTCTTTTCCTGCTGATAATTTACCTCCTCTCAGAAATAACTAGATATTTCCCTCAGAAAAAATGCAATCAATCATTTGACATCTAAGACAGGAATGGAGGAATTCAATTGTATCACTCTACAACAGCATGGCTGCAGTAGTGCCATTTGAAGAATGTGATGTGTCTGTCCAAAAAAATAGACTTTTGGGCAACTGTATCAACTCTTGTTGAAACATAGATTTCCCTTTGAATTAATTATGATTTTTCCAAACAGAGTTTCTTTGGTAATGTGTCATGAGACTGATAACAGGAAAACTGCCCATTCATTTTGTGGACCATAAATTTGCACTTTGTGGAATCTTCGAAGGCAAAACTGTGGTACCAAACTTTTACTGTACATTTTTAAACAAAAATAAAAATTTGGATAAATCCTAAACGAAACAAAATAACATGGCCACATATATACAATTTTGGGTTGAATCTCTCTTTATGGCTCTCCACTGAAGCCACTGGTAATGACAGAACATGTCACAATGTCCCCATGGGTCCATTCCTACATGTAGGTGGCCATGTTATTTGGTTTCATTTGGGATTTACGCAAATTTATAATTTTTGTTCAAAATACACAGTAAAAGTTTCATACAATAATTTTGCCTTCAAAGATTCCGCACAGCACTAAGAAAAGTGCACATTTATGGTCTAAAACAAAATGAGCAGTTTTGAAAAATTTTGAATAATTGATAGTGTCTGAAAACTGTCTGAGGAAACTGTGTGAGGTGGCTGTCTGACCTTCCTCCCGTTGCTAGCAGCAGGGTGTCGTAGCTGATGCTCTTGCCGTTCTTAAAGGCAACGCAGTTCAGCAGAGTGTCAACTGCAGTGGCCTCCATGTCTTTCTGAACATCAATGTCATACACGCTGTAGAAGTCAGGCTGGCGCAGGGACAACTCAGCACCCGACGAGGTTAGAGACTATCACAACAGATCATGAAACAATGAGCAGA